CCCCAAAACCCCAAAACCCCAAAACCCCAAATTTAAATATTAGAATTCGATATTAATGAAATTAAGTAAATTAGATATAAAATAAGCTATTCATTATGTAATCACAATTGAAGTGATGTGAGATTATTTGAATTGGGATTATTTGCATAGGGTAATAAACTTTGCATGCTCTTATCATTGATATTCTGCATGTAATCCATCTAAAAGAGTTCTCTCTCCATTTATTTCTAATATCTATCCTTAAGTTATAGGTCCTCCATCCCAATAATTTTAGAATAGAGTTTTTAATCTTAGTTCCGATAAGCCTAATTAAAAGATTGGTAATCAATATTAAATCTTACCATAAGGTCATAATAGTTGAATTTTTCAAGTTCATCAAGGGCAGCATCTTTTGTTTTTTTCCTTTATTAGACTTATAGATCCAGGTCTGCATGGTACTTTTTCATCTGGATGACTCTGTTATGATTGTATTTCTGCTTGTTCAGTTCATATATAGCGCTCCTAAATTAGAAACTATAAGGTATCTTACTTGTTATTAGATTTCTTTTTTGAGAAAGTCTTTCTCAGCATTCTCATATGTGCTCTGCAGCTAACCTTTATAGTTTATTTGATTTCTTAGGTCTTACAGATACTGCTGCTGAATCTGATATTTGCGAGTCATAGATGAGCTATGTATATTTCTTATATTGTGCTTTGCATCAAGTTCTTCAGTCACATTAGGATCAATTATCAGTTCTGACTTCTAATCAATAATCTAACTCTTATTATGTCTTTAAATTAAAGGAGATTTCTGAAGAGCTATATCTTGCTGCTAATTTCTTTGCCGAATCTCCTTCAATTGCTAATCTAAAACGGCTTTCTAGATTTTTTACTTGGTAAATTTATTAAGCTTATCCTTTATTAGTTACTTTCTGATCATGTCTATATCAATTGGTTCTCTTTTAAATCCAAACTTAGCCAGTTCATCCTCTTATTTGGTTTAATCATTGATCTAATTCAGCCTGTTTTGTTGATTGTTTGGATCAGGGCATTAGCTCTCTGATGGCTGCATAGTACTTTGCAATATTTCATTATTTTTATTTAAAGTAACTCCTTCAGAATACTGCCTAGCTTCTTTTCTTATATTTTATGCGCTATTTGCTCTCTTCTTTATCTCAATTTACCTATCTAGCTCCAATCTAATTATAAATTTATTAAGGGTTTAATATAACAAAATCTTACTTACTTGTACAACTATTAGTTTTTAACTTTCCTCTACTACTAATCGTGATAGTTTTTGTTAACTACTTCCATCTAATGCTTTGATAATGCTTGCCAAATGTCCTCTTCCCCAGTTTTAACATTCTTGGGAAATCGTCTTTTGAAACTAGTACTTTGATTATTCATTTATTGTTGAATGATTTCCATTTGCTTGACTATTTTTTACTAATCTTATATATTTTTATCTGTCTACTCTGGATTCAGGGTAGACATATTCGTCTCTTTATTTTACACACTAATTGATTACTAGATTTCTGGCAAATTCCTATCGTTGTTCTCAACTTCATCTTAAGTCTTCTTACTTCTAAGGGGAGGGAGAGGGGGCTTTTAAAACTTCTCACTTTTGAGAATGTTCTTTGGTATAGACCTTCCAACTTCCTTGAAATCATATAGCCTCATATTTGCTGAGGCTTTCATATTTAGAGGAGAATTTTAATCAATAGCATTTAGTTGGTCTTCTGATTTATTAAGGGTTAAGTGAAACTATTAAATTGGAGACTTTTATATAGTAAAAGCATCATTTTCACAGTAACTTAGTTTGTAGTCAGTTTTCTTAATATTTAAATCCTCATTAACATCCCAAGGAGTAAGCAACTTAATAGTCGAGGAAGCTTGAGGGGTATAGGATTAGCCATATCTGTCAATGAACATTCGTTTTTAGGGTCTGAAATTTAATCTCATTTTTACTAACTAAGCAAGTCTTAAAATATTAATAACGATTATTTTTTAAAAATATAAATCAAATAAATCGAGTATAAACTTGAATCATAAACTAATATGGGTAACTGCACAGCACTCTGCTCTGGTGGAAACGACAATAAAAAGGAATTGATCTAGGAATTATCTGGAAAGAATGGGGTTATCACTAAAGAAGAAATTTAGGCTGAATATGAAAAAGCTAAGAATGTGGCAAGCCTTTAATTTGAGGGATTAAATGTAGATGACTAATTTACGAATGTAGATTCGAATAAGCAAAAGTTATCTCAGTCTGATGAAATAGAAGAGGATGGGTAAAGCTAATAAGTTTAAAGGGAAAAGAAATCTCCAACAATGCTTAAAAATGGAGCAGTTTATACTGGAGAATGGCTTGGTGGGAAAAGAGATGGCTATGGAATTCAGGAATGGCCAGACTCCTCTAAATATGAGGGTTAATGGGTAAATGATAGAGCATGTGGGTAAGGAAAAATGTATCATTCAGATGGAGATACCTATTAAGGCGAATGGGCAGATGATAAAGCTCACGGCTAAGGAATTTATATTAAATCCTGTGGTGCTATATTTTCAGGGGGATGGGTGTAAGACAAATAGCACGGCTTTGGTACAGAGAAATGGCCTGATGGCACTCAGTTTGAGGGCAACTTTTCGAATGGATAGAAGCATGGGGAAGGAAAGATGACATTCTAAGATGGAGGGTTTTATGAGGGTTAGTTTGAAAGAAATGAGATCAATGGACAAGGAAAACATTCTTGGAAAGATGGTAAGATTTATGAGGGCAGTTGGAAAAGTAACAGAATGAATGGATAAGGTAGGCTGACTTGGCCAGATGGAAAGTTTTATGAGGGAAACTTTGTCAATGATAAAAAAGAAGGTTAGGGTACCTAAAAATGGAAAGATGGAAGAGAGTATAGAGGTGAATGGAAAGCTGGAAAACAGCATGGGATAGGTTATTTTAGGAAGAATGAGAAATCATAGGCACTTAAAGGAGAATGGGCTGAAGGTAAAAGAATTAAATGGATCAAGGAGTGAATTGAATTTCAAACTGTCAATGTGGAATTATATATAATGTGAGAAGTGAGTAGAATTATTTTCCAATGCAACCTTTTTATTCACTTTCTCTGATTAGATTAAAATTCAAAGTTATTAAATTAAAAGACTTATATTCTATCTTTAAGATATCGTATCAAGGTTGGTTGCTATTAATTACATCCACACCACCTATCAATCATAGATCTGTTTAACATTTTCAATGAATCTATCATACACAAATAGAAATAATGCTCCGTTAAATAGATTGAACATAAACCTTGGATGGATCCCGCTTAGGAATTTAGAAGCGCCTTCTTCTTTATAAACTGTCTTCATACAATTAAATAATCCTGAATATTTGGGATACTGCTAAGTAACCATCTTTGATAAGCACACATCAATTGGATTAGTGACTAATGTTGCCATTGCATTTGCTGCGACAAGCAACAGATACCTAATGTGAATTCTCGTCTTTACATCTTAATTATGAAAATCGTAGAATAAATAACTTATCTCATCTATACTCTCATCATAGCCTTAAGCTCTTCTATTTTTCATAATATCAACAATCTAGGGGAAGGTGTACTTGAGTAGGGGCCTGTGCTCTAAATTGGTAGTGCCATAGTAGAACCCTAATAGCATAGCTCTAAATGTCACATCTCTCATCATTAATGGAAACCAACCTATGTATGAATATCTTAGCATATCTTTGACTGTAGAATCATATATGCACATCTGGACTAATTGCTTTCTAACTTCAAACAATACTCTTGCAAAAGAAGCTGTGAAATCACTTCCAATATATATAAGCATGTTTTTCAGCCTGAAGTCTAGATCAGCATACTGTCTATTAGAGTAGAAATAGAAAGTGAGCAAGTTAAAAGTAGATATAAAGGTAAAACTACCAGCAGCTGCTCCCATAAACCCACTGATAACACCAGAGATCAAAGCTATAGTCAAAATATTAGAGCACATTCACTTACTTACGCTTAGTTTACACTTTGTTTTGGAAGTAAAATGACACATCCTCTCTAAGGTTTCTAGCCATACCTCTGACTTTGATAGTCTCTATAAAATGGAAGAATGTGTTGTGAAACATCTCTAGAGTGCAATAGCAAATCGACTTAGCATGCCTGATAAAGAAACTATTGAAGGGAGATATCTCATATGTAGCTGAATTTTGTATTTGATTTTGCTCTCTTCTTGAGGCTCTCTTATCGATTTCTTTTCTAGCTAGTTCTAGCTATCTACGTTCATATCTGCTCTGATATGATTAAGAGTAGCTGCTATCATATGATTGCTTAGAATTTTCCTGATTACCCCTCATTTTATCAAATTATAATTTGAATAATCTTAACCTTGTGGTTGAGTTAAAATTGCATAAATTAATGACTAGTGGGGTTTTGGGGTTTTGGGG